CCGAAGACAGAGTCCTAAAAGACTTTAACATATAATGTCAATGATACAAAAGAACGGCTGTAACACTCTGTTTTCAGACACAGTTATACATTCTGCTCATTGTAAATCTGCTCAATGCCTGCAAGTGAATTAAACACCATGTTACTGCAGGGAATCTCTGCAAGAACGTGATGCAGAAATATTCAAGACTTGGTGCATGATTATTTTTTATTGTTTTAAATGTAACAAAGCAAGGGTTTCGAATATTGCCAAGATACAGTCAAGTATTGAAACTTGATAAGTCAACCTTTATAACCTTTATAAGTCAAATAAGTGTAGTGGGAAATTTCACTACAACAATGTAGGGGTAGGTAGGCCTATCTATTCTGAATATCTTGGACGCCTAGGGAAATGACAGAATTTAAGTCCCCACTCCTAGGACAATTAACTCCTGTACTTATTATAAATAAGTATATTTTAATCTGTCTTGATCAAATGTGCTTAAAACAACGACTAAACTCTGTCGGTTATGTCTTAAACATAGACAGTAAAGGTCTTAAACAGTAGTGTGTGTATCGGATGCGCGTCAGTGCAATTGGATCCGAATGTCATTGGACATGATCTGATGTCTTAAAGTGACAGTGGGTAATAAACCTAATGTGGTCTGTGTCCTTTATATTCAAGCCAAAAAAAAAAAAAAAAGAGAGAGAAAAGCATTCACTGTTTGTTAAAAGCCTAAGGATTAATTGTATTTAATTCATACAAATAAATATGTCGGCTTGAAAGAATAAAGAATGATGTAAGTAGTTACAAAGAATGCATATATCATTAATTGAAAAGAAGACTGTGATTTACTTTAGGAAAAGTGGTTTTATTCAATTGTAAGATATTTTTAAGTCACAGTAGTTAAATCTGTATCTGTGTTGAATGTTCAAACTTTAAAATCATTCATATTACAGTAATCGGTTAATAGATGTTTTCTCCGGGAGTTTATGGGTTTGGATAATTTAAAAGAAATTCTAAAAGATTCTAAAATCTAAAAAACAACTGAAAATATGTGTAAATACGTCAGATAAAAACGTTATCACAACCTTTTCATGACGTGAAAAAAAAATGTTTTTTAAACGTTTTTGTGTTTGCTGGGATAATACTGCACAATATACTGTAATGAATGGTGTGCACCCCCCCCCCCCCCCCCCATATTTCAGTACATAAGTCAAGGTTGGAACTACATTTCTCACATCTGCACTATACTCGTAGATCAATAAATCATGTCTGAAAACAGCTGCTAATGAGCCAGTTGACATTAAAGCCCTAGAGAGGAGCTTTGAGCCACCTGCAGTGAGCTCAACAACCAATCCTTTCTCAGGTATTAATGATGAGAACTGAAACACTTAACCACCACTTCAGCTTCTCTGCTGGAGTCACTGGCCTTACCTCACCTTGTACAAACCTCAAACTTCCGCTTCAAATTTTAACGTTTTAGTTAAAAAAATATTCTCTTTTGTTCAACTTTGGCCTGAGATGATACACAAAACCCAACAAATACAAAGACTACTCCACTGCCTATAGAGCACTAGTGAGATCAGTTCAGAACACTGTTACAAAAACCTCTTTTTGGCAATCAGGAATCATAACAGAATGTTTATACGAAGAGTTCAGATGCAAAAGCCTCTAAATGCCATTTGAAATTTTCTTCTTTAATGATGATTTTTACCTATTAATTGTTATTTAAGTGAAATTACTGAACATAAATATACAAGTTTGATAAAAATCATCATTAAAGAAGAAAATTTCAAATGGCATTTAGAGGCTTTTGCATCTGAACTCACATATTCTATAAAGAGCTCTGTAAAAGAAAAGTTGAAAAACCAAAGAATTGAATATAAACTTGGTATCCAATACAAGTATACTGTCAGTACAGTACAAATAAATAAATAAATTATTCAGCATCCTTGGCCAAATTGTATTGGTGATCATATTTGCCATAGTATAACATTTTTTTAATCTTCTGGCATGATTTTCTGTCAATCGTCTCTCTCTTCTGCAAAAAATACCAAATGTATGAAGTACATGCCTATCAATTGGCAATTATGAGTTTGGGGGTGTACAACATGTGTATTTACATAGAATAGTAAAAGTCTCCCATCTAAAGTGTGCACTGTAATTATACTGTATAAAAACCCTATCGATGAGCCTGTGGGCCAACTTCCCTCCATGCACAAGAGGTTCCCTAATTATATAGCTTTGTATTTTATCAGGAACAAATGTCCCCTTAACTTTCCTTTCCTCTTTGTCTTCCACCGTTAGGATTCGTTTTCAAAAGCACATAATCTGTTTTCTGAATGACATCAGGATTAAACCTGTGCAAAACAAGGACATTTATGTAGAGTTTTGCAGAAAACATTGAAAAAACTGGAACGTGTACAATGCAGGTGAAATGTGTTATTTCGAGAACTGAATAAATGGTTTGGGAAATTGGACCAACTGAATCAGATAGTGTGTTAGCAATCAATAAAATCTGTAATAGTGTTTGGTCTTCACAGATTGTAAAGGTTTGTTATGAGGGCATGGAAAACATCACTGTACCCCTGGACAAAAAAAGTAATTTCAACTTAAGGTAAGTGTTTGTGCTGCCTCAAAATTTAGTCAACTTGAAATGTTAAATTGTACTTAGTGACAACTTGAATATTTAAGTTGACTAAACTTAAAAATTTAATCAGCACAAACACTTACTTTTTTAAGTTGAAACAACAATGTATTTTAACGGTGTACTTTAGTACAATTAATAAACATTTTTATGTTTCCATTAATTATATTCTTCTGACCAAAAATGTATTGATGATTTATCTGTCTGTTGAAATGCCACTTTTTCACAAAGCATCAGTGCAGCTCATTGTGTTGGCAGGCAGGTATCACTCACACTATTATGCATGACTGAGATATTCAGCTGAAGGTCACACCCCATGATGCCTGTGACTTGCCTCTTTAGCCCAATATGGGGGAGGAATAAAAGCTAATTATGAGAGGAGGCAGCCTTTCCCATCCCTCCACTCCTTACTATCTCTTCATTTAGTCCTGCAGGTCGTAATGTGTACAACAAACAATCAACGATAACAAGACGTTTCTTCTACCAGCATCACGGATACATCTGGATAAACTGTGGTAAGCCAATTGGACATATAAGCAGCATGCTGTATTAAATATATGTGTGTTTTTTTTTTTATTAAATAAGGGGGGATTTATTTATTTTAATTATCTGCAAAGTAGTTGGAATCTTTAATAAGGAAGATTTGTATTAGCAATATGCACTGAAACTGTAATATATTATGATGAATTGTTATCATATTGCATTGCAAGATTTATATGAAAATCTATAGATGTTCCCAATTATATGATTTCCATTGTGTTAAAAAATAATTTTAAAGATTTTGCAAAACCCGTTCAAAAGAACATCCGAAAACAACTGGTTTTTAAGCTATAACAGTAAATTAAGAAGATTGATAGTGTGAACGTGTCAAGTAACTGTATATTAATAAGTGAGCAGATTATTTGTGCTCTCCGGAGGATATCTGCACTCCTCTCTCCCACTGAGCCTCATCCAAAACATGACCAGCTGAGACCCAGCAAAACAATTACTGCAACTCTACAACAGAGGTGTCTTTAATAGCCTTAAGGAGCCAATAGCACTGTCTTGTTTAGGGAACTAAAGCATCAGACATCTGTAGAACTGGAGTTATGCTGTTATCCACCTGATGCATTTAGCTGGACTCACCTGGGGTTTGTTTTGCCATATTCCTGCAGGGTTAATTTGGTGTCTACAGGAGAGCAGAATGTCTAACAACATGGCCAAGATTGCAGAAGCACGAAAAACAGTGGAACAATTGAAACTGGAGGTTAACATTGACAGGATGATGGTAAGACAAAAGAGTTTGGTTAGATTTTAATACTAATAATTGCAAAAGCTATTTAATATGAATGAGAAATAATTTGTTCATAAATCGTTTATTCAGGGGTAAAGAAAATCAGATTTATGGGATGTTATTCCTGGATGTGTAGTGTTGGCTTGTCTCTCTTGGTACAGGTATCTAAAGCAGCAGCTGAGCTGATGGCTTACTGTGAGACCCATGCAAAAGAAGACCCCCTGGTGGCCCCTGTACCATCCTCAGAAAACCCCTTCAGAGAGAAAAAGATTTTTTGTGAAATTTTGTAGTGTTCATTTTTAATCCACTAGGACTAGGTTGTATTATTTTCTAGGATATTTCCAAGATATTTTTCGCTGATTCCCTAAATGTCACTTAAATGTTATAACAAGTGTGAGTAATCTCTCTATCTCCTGTATGTCGTAGGCTTCAAGAACTGTGTTATTTCAGGATTCTATGTTTTGGAATTTTCCTTTATCCAGGTCACTGTTTCAATTATAAGTTAGACTTTATTGATATATCAAATTTCCTCATGGTGGCGCTACAGTTTTCAAATATCTGTCAATCGTCATTCCCCCATTCAGCTGCTGTGAGTGTTTGGTGAGGTTGCTTAGTAGGTTGCTCAGAACAGCAATAAAAGAAGAGAGAGCAAAGTTCATTCTGCTTAAGCTTTGTTTGTTCTGTGTCTTTGACTCAGCTTCCGTGAACGGTTTATACATTAACTTACATACCATCCCTGGACAAATTCATCAATACCTGCATACCTAAATAGGCTAGATTTCTTTCTCGCGTATTTTTTTTTTTTTTTTTTTGTGTGAACTATCCTTTAGGACTTATGTAGTCTATTTTTAAAAATTCTATAATTATGTTAATTAAAAAGTACTGCCTATTATTCTATTTGACAGTATATAAAAGCCAATAAAATAAATACAATTAAGTTGTAGGCTAATTAATAAATCTGAAAGCACTGCCTAATAAAGTCGTTGGCAGTGGCACTGCAGGCAGGAGGGAGCAGATGGGCGGGGTCATCTTTACTAGAGTTGTACGTTGCTGCCAGTCATGCGCAGGAGGGGAGTGGTCATATTTAATAACGTAAAGCAGGTGAGCAGGTGCGCTTTTTTCAGAGAGGTAACTAGGATATTCCCATCACAAGATCCGCACAGGAGCACTGGGCACCCCGCCGTGACAACACAGGCCAGCGTTCAGGTAGAGTACACAAACAAGCTAATACCTTCAACTCTATCTTCAATTTTCGGTAGAATATAGGCTACACAATTAAAAAATAAATAAAAATACAATAAAATTCGTAACAGAGAATAATGATTTTTTTTATGGACTATGTGAATAGGCTACTAAAGGCTAACACTTTTTGTAACATTTTACAATAAGGTTTCATTAGTTAAATATTTTTGAACTAAGAATGAACAATAGTCTTTACATTGTTAGTTCATGTTAGTTAATACATCAACTAATGTTAACAAATGAGACCTTTTATTGTAAAGTGTGTTACATAATTATACTGTAACATCATCATAAATTACAAATTTCCTTGAAACAAGCAAGAGATTTTTTAATGTCTTTAATTAGGCCTACAGGGGTTTTATTTATATTGTTTTTGGAAAAAATCTATTTCTAAGTAGCACATTTTAAACAGTATAACTAACCATTGTAGGTATTTTATCCAATAATATGGTTACCATGGATATATATATATATACTGTATATATATATTCTTAGGCTTCTATCTGCTGAGACAAGAGTCAACTTGATTTGTAAGACAATAAACTCTCCCATATGCACACTAGTAAATAAAAGTACTTGCCTACCGAGAAAAACTTGATTTCCATCCATCTAAATGACGGTATACTCCTCAAAACAAAACAAAAGAAAAAAAACAAAGGGCCAAGCTGAAGTCTTATAATCTTTTGATCATTCCTGTGGGAAGCCAGCCTTTCTGCAATATTCATCTATATTCCAAAGCATTAAATGACATTTTACAGTGAAGTTCACCAATACAAGCAAAAACCCAGCACAATGAAACTCTTCATCCATGCTTCATTGTGCTAGACATGCACTTATTATTATATTTCTCAGCAGATTTTAGAAGACAAACGCTCTGAAGCATCACCGTACAACTTTACAAAAAATTCCCATATTCTGTCTTTGATTTTTTTTCTGAGAAATGGCTTTTAAGTAGTATATTTGCTTTAGTAAATTTAGCTATAATTCACGACCAATAGTTTGTGGTTAAGATGATCAAAAGCTTAGTGTTTAGCCATTTTGGGCGTGGCCCATTTTTTGTGCCCAGTTGGCAAGGAAAAACTCCCTAGATCCCAACAGGTAACCAGATGATAATAGTTTCTAAGATATGAGCATCATAACCATACATTCTTATCAATAACAAAATGTCATATCTGAATATTTATTTCTTTAGTTAATGATTATCAGGGAGGACCTAACTGTCTATATAGGCTATAAAAGCTTAGCTTAGTGAACTTTGGTGTGCATGACACATTGAGCCAGCTTTACACAACAAAATATTTTTTCTGGAGTGCACACAGACACAGACACAATAGGCACACAAATTATATTACTATATTTATATACTTTATGTAGTTTCACATTGTTTTGTTTTTGTTCAAAGGGCAGAATGGCCAACTTCAAGGGACATGCACTACCTGGTACATTCTTCCTGCTGTTTGGCCTGTGGTGGTCGATCAAGTACCCTTTCCGACAGATGAGGAGGAAACGAGAGAGGCAACATGGAGACAGAGAGAGACAAATGCACACTGTACTCTTAAACCGCATGGAGTTAATTGAAGGAGCTCTAAAGATCTTTTTTGCATTTGTTGGTGAGTTACAATTGTAGTTCCAGGTAACATTCTCTGCACAACATAGTTGTGATATTTGCGGTAAAAAAAAGGCAGCTGTGGTTGCTTTGCTAGACATTTACCATAAATATAAAGTAGCAATATTATAGTTTTACAGATTTAACATAAATTGACAGTAAAAAAAAACTGTATTTCATTAAACAATGTTGTTATACCAACCTATTAAAATACTAATATATGCTTTGTACCTCTGCAATACACTGACAACCACCAAAAACAGGTTACAACAGTCACATGATGAATCAAAGCTCATCACAATAGCTTTTCAAAAAGCTGAGAAGGTAAATATTAATATATAGAAGGTGCACAGTGTCATTCGCACAAATACTAAACCCAAATGACACTAAAGTAATTTATTAACATTAATTTAACAACAGATGTTACCTAAAACACTAATGTACATAACTAAAAACAAATGGTTATTTAAATGAAAATGTGAATACAGTTTTCACTGTAAATTATGACAACACCTTTTTCACTTCCAAAGCTGTAAATTTAACAGCATTTTACTGTAAAATTGCTATAAATGCAAGGTTAAATCTATTACAGTTATTCACCATATAAGGAAATGTATTGTTATTAACATATGATGCGTATGTCTTTACTTAAAAGGAATAGTTTTGATGAAAAAATGATTTACTTTCTTTTGTGTTACATTAAAGGAGAAGTTTAGCAGACTATCCAAGCTGCTCTTCTCCATACAATATATATACATTTTTTATTTTTTATTTATTTATTTATTTTTTTTACAAAAAAATCTGGTGTTTTACACTAAAATCTCTCCCCAGGGATCATGGCAGAGCAGTTTGTGCCTGATGGTCCTCATGCACATCTGTATCAGGGTGGCTGGGTGAAGCTGATGAATTGGCAACACAGCACCATGTACTTGTTCTTCGGTATCTCTGGCATCGCAGACGTTCTCAGCGTGACCTCTCGCCATGTGCCAGTTGGTCTTGACCGTCTCTCCCTTTCCATGGCTCTCTTTGTGGAAGGTATCAAGCAAAATGAGCCTTTAATTAAGTAAATATGCAGTGATATCCCACCATATACCCGCTGAATTGTCATGGCATTTCTCTTCCAGGTTTCCTTTTCTATTTCCATGTCCACAATCGTCCTCTTCTGGACCAGCACATTCACTCTCTGCTTCTGGTTGCGGTGTTTGGTGGATCCGCCACTACAATGTTGGAGGTGTTTAAGCGAGATAACACCGTGCTGGAACTTTTCAGGTGCAGTTTGGCCATCCTACAAGGGACATGGTTTTATCAGGTAAAGGCAACATCTCAAACTCATAGGTGAAGAAAATTAACCTACAATTTTTTTTTTTTTTAAATCAAAAAAACTTTTGCTGATAATTTACTCACCCCCATGTCATCCAAGATGACTCAGGTCTAAGTCCCATGGCCCTTTATCTGAATCCAGAGTTTCAAGAAGATTGGAGAAACGTATTTTTTCGCACACACAAAAAAAAAACGACAGTGGTACCCCTTTTGTTTTTTTTTTGTTTTTTTTTTGTGTGTGCGAAAAAACAAGTTTCTCCAATCTTCTTGAAACTCTGGATTCTGATAGAGGGCCATGAGACTTAGACCTGAGTGCAAAGATGGAGGCTCTAGACCCTTCCAGAGCTGAGATATTGAGATATTTATAATGGCATAAATGCTACGTGGATCTCAATATCTCAGCTCTAGAAGGGTCTGGAGCCTCCATTTTTGCACTCAGGTCTAAGTCCCATGGCCCTCTATCAGAATCCAGAGTTTCAAGAAGATTGGAGAAACTAATTTTTTCGCACAAAAAACCCCCCCAAAAAACGACAGTGGTACCCCTTTCGTTTTTTTTTTGTGCGAAAAAATAAGTTTCTCCAATCTTCTTGAAACTCTGGATTCTGATAGAGGGTCATGAGACTTAGATCTGAGTGCAAAAATGGAGGCTCTAGACCCTTCCAGAGCTGAGTTATGGACATCTCACGTAGCATTTATGCCATTATAAAAATAGTACTAGTACTTTTCAAATATAGTGGGTTATTGGACAAATAGTGTGTTTGTGGGGGAAAGAATGAAATGGAAATCATGGATGACATGGGGGTGAGTAAATTATCAGCAAAAGTTTTTTTTAAAGTCAACTACTCCTTTAATATGATTCTGGGAAAAATCTAAATTACAATATGAAAACATCCGTTATGTTTCAGATTGGGTTTGTGCTGTATCCTCTAAGTGGATCACCTTGGGATCCGGAAAAGCACGACAACATCATGTTCATCACCATGTGCTTCTGCTGGCATTACGCTGTGGCTCTATTGATTGTAGGCATCTGCTACTGTGGAGTTTTTTGGTGAGTGGACACTCTTTGGTCATTATAGATGAACCAAAACAGTTCCTTTGTCTTTATTTTACTTACATTGAGCGCATGATCTTTTTAGGTCTTCAAAATGGTGTGATGGAAGGCAGATAGGCGACATGGAGATGGGGCTCAGAAAGTGTCCTGCCTCAGACTCTAGCTCCCAAAAAGCTTTGCTCCAGGAATCAGATGAAGAGTAGTTGGAGCTTGTGATGACTACCAAGATTGAATGCACTGAATTCTACATTTCTTTGCCTTTTTCTCTGCTTGCAAGCTGTCTTCCAATAGGATTTTATGAATTTATGTTTGCATAATTTATCTGCAAATGATTCAAAAGATTTTCATGTGCTCATGCCAAAAATATCTCATTAAAAAGGGACATGTAAAAAGTGTGGTTATCACAGGTGTCAGAAGCACTTGGCAGGATTTGACAAACCACAGAGGAAAAACAGATCATGGTATTCTTTTAGAATATCAAATGCATGTATGAATGACATTCACTTCTAAATATGTATAATAGATGTATGCGCATTAAAATGTATTATAATGAAATTCAAATGTGGAATATACAAGCATATAATTGTTTCACTTGTCGACACTGCATGGTCAGCTTGATTCATGTTTGCCACATCATGGAAATGAAGCGGTAAAAAGCAGGCAAATTATTTGTTTTACATATACACAATTCAAGTTAGAGATTCATCCCTAGACTGCAGTAGACAACGGTGTCTGGTGTGAAGGTGTGGAATGAAGGTACCATCTGTTTAGGTTTGATATTTTAGCACAATCATTTATTTATTTATTACAATACAAACAGTGGCTACTGAATATCAACAGTACTTGTTAAATTACATTTCATTCGGAGAACTTAAGATATAAAAAGCACAAATAAACAAAGTTGCCTCTGTGTACATTTCAACATCATTTAAAGAAAGGCCATTCACTTGAACCAATTTCAGACTGACACAAGAAGATCAGAGAAACTTTTTTTGCATCGCACAGGGGTACGTACCCCTTTCGTTTTTTTTTTTTTTTGTGCGAAAAAATAAGTTTCTCCAATCTTCTTGAAACTCTGGATTCTGATAAAGGGCCATGGGACTTAGACCTGAGTGCAAAAATGGAGGCTCTAGACCCTTCCAGAGCTGAGATATTGAGAAATTTATAATGGCATGAATGCTACTAGCATCTCAGTATCTCATAAATATCTCAATATCTCAGCTCTGAAAGGGTCTAGAGCCTCCATTTTTGCACTCAGGTCTAAGTCTCATGGCCCTCTATCAGAATCCAGAGTTTTGAGAAGATTGGAGAAACTTAATTTTTCGCCCGAAAAAAAAAAACGTAAGGGGTACCACTGTCGGTTTTTTTTGGGGGCCGAATTTTTGAGTTTCGATATCTCAGCTCTGGAAGGGGCTAGAGCCTCCATTTTTGCACTCAGGTCTAAGTCTCATGTCCCTCTATCAGAATCCAGAGTTTTGGGAAGATTGGAGAAACTTAATTTTTCGCCCGAAAAAAAAAACGTAAGGGGTACCACTGTCGTTTTTTTTGGGGCCGAATTTTTGAGTTTCGATATCTCAGCTCTGGAAGGGGCTAGAGCCTCCATTTTTGCACTCAGGTCTAAGTCTCATGGCCCTCTATCAGAATCCAGAGTTTTGAGAAGATTGGAGAAACTTAATTTTTCGCCCGAAAAAAAAAAAACGTAAGGGGTACCACTGTCGTTTTTTTTTGGGCCGAATTTTTGAGTTTCGATATCTCAGCTCTGGAAGGGGCTAGAGCCTCCATTTTTGCACTCAGGTCTAAGTCTCATGGCCCTCTATCAGAATCCAGAGTTTTGAGAAGATTGGAGAAACTTAATTTTTCGCCCGAAAAAAAAAAAAACGTAAGGGGTACCACTGTCGTTTTTTTTTTTCAGGGCCGAATTTTTGAGTTTCGATATCTCAGCTCTGGAAGGGGCTAGAGCCTCCATTTTTGCACTCAGGTCTAAGTCTCATGGCCCTCTATCAGAATCCAGAGTTTTGAGAAGATTGGAGAAACTTAATTTTTCGCCCGAAAAAAAAAAACGTAAGGGGTACCACTGTCGTTTTTTTTTGGGCCGAATTTTTGAGTTTCGATATCTCAGCTCTGGAAGGGGCTAGAGCCTCCATTTTTGCACTCAGGTCTAAGTCTCATGGCCCTCTATCAGAATCCAGAGTTTTGAGAGGATTGGAGAAACTTCATTTTTCGCCCAAAAAAAAAAAAAAACGTAAGGGGTACCACTGTCGTTTTTTTTTGGGCCGAATTTTTGAGTTTCGATATCTCAGCTCTGGAAGGGGCTAGAGCCTCCATTTTTGCACTCAGGTCTAAGTCTCATGGCCCTCTATCAGAATCCAGAGTTTTGAGAAGATTGGAGAAACTTAATTTTTCGCCCGAAAAAAAAAAACGTAAGGGGTACCACTGTCGTTTTTTTTTTGGGCCGAATTTTTGAGTTTCGATATCTCAGCTCTGGAAGGGGCTAGAGCCTCCATTTTTGCACTCAGGTCTAAGTCTCATGGCCCTCTATCAGAATCCAGAGTTTTGAGAAGATTGGAGAAACTTAATTTTTCGCCCGAAAAAAAAAACGTAAGGGGTACCACTGTCGTTTTTTTTTGGGCCGAATTTTTGAGTTTCGATATCTCAGCTCTGGAAGGGGCTAGAGCCTCCATTTTTGCACTCAGGTCTAAGTCTCATGGCCCTCTATCAGAATCCAGAGTTTTGGGAAGATTGGAGAAACTTAATTTTTCGCCCGAAAAAAAAAACGTAAGGGGTACCACTGTCGTTTTTTTTTCGGGCCGAATTTTTGAGTTTCGATATCTCAGCTCTGGAAGGGGCTAGAGCCTCCATTTTTGCACTCAGGTCTAAGTCTCATGGCCCTCTATCAGAATCCAGAGTTTTGAGAAGATTGGAGAAACTTAATTTTTCGCCCGAAAAAAAAAAAACGTAAGGGGTACCACTGTCGTTTTTTTTTGGGGCCGAATTTTTGAGTTTCGATATCTCAGCTCTGGAAGGGGCTAGAGCCTCCATTTTTGCACTCAGGTCTAAGTCTCATGGCCCTCTATCAGAATCCAGAGTTTTGAGAAGATTGGAGAAACTTAATTTTTCGCCCAAAAAAAAAACGTAAGGGGTACCACTGTCGTTTTTTTTTTGGGCCGAATTTTTGAGTTTCGATATCTCAGCTCTGGAAGGGGCTAGAGCCTCCATTTTTGCACTCAGGTCTAAGTCTCATGGCCCTCTATCAGAATCCAGAGTTTTGAGAAGATTGGAGAAACTTAATTTTTCGCCCGAAAAAAAAAACGTAAGGGGTACCACTGTCGTTTTTTTTTTCGGGCCGAATTTTTGAGTTTCGATATCTCAGCTCTGGAAGGGGCTAGAGCCTCCATTTTTGCACTCAGGTCTAAGTCTCATGGCCCTCTATCAGAATCCAGAGTTTTGAGAAGATTGGAGAAACTTAATTTTTCGCCCGAAAAAAAAAAAACGTAAGGGGTACCACTGTCGTTTTTTTTTTCGGGCCGAATTTTTGAGTTTCGATATCTCAGCTCTGGAAGGGGCTAGAGCCTCCATTTTTGCACTCAGGTCTAAGTCTCATGGCCCTCTATCAGAATCCAGAGTTTTGAGAAGATTGGAGAAACTTAATTTTTCGCCCGAAAAAAAAAACGTAAGGGGTACCACTGTCGTTTTTTTTTTGGGCCGAATTTTTGAGTTTCGATATCTCAGCTCTGGAAGGGGCTAGAGCCTCCATTTTTGCACTCAGGTCTAAGTCTCATGGCCCTCTATCAGAATCCAGAGTTTTGAGAAGATTGGAGAAACTTAATTTTTCGCCCAAAAAAAAAAAACGTAAGGGGTACCACTGTCGTTTTTTTTTGGGCCGAATTTTTGAGTTTCGATATCTCAGCTCTGGAAGGGGCTAGAGCCTCCATTTTTGCACTCAGGTCTAAGTCTCATGGCCCTCTATCAGAATCCAGAGTTTTGAGAAGATTGGAGAAACTTAATTTTTCGCCCAAAAAAAAAAACGTAAGGGGTACCACTGTCGTTTTTTTTTCGGGCCGAATTTTTGAGTTTCGATATCTCAGCTCTGGAAGGGGCTAGAGCCTCCATTTTTGCACTCAGGTCTAAGTCTCATGGCCCTCTATCAGAATCCAGAGTTTTGAGAAGATTGGAGAAACTTAATTTTTCGCCCAAAAAAAAAAACGTAAGGGGTACCACTGTCGTTTTTTTTTCGGGCCGAATTTTTGAGTTTCGATATCTCAGCTCTGGAAGGGGCTAGAGCCTCCATTTTTGCACTCAGGTCTAAGTCTCATGGCCCTCTATCAGAATCCAGAGTTTTGAGAAGATTGGAGAAACTTAATTTTTCGCCCAAAAAAAAAAACGTAAGGGGTACCACTGTCGTTTTTTTTTTCGGGCCGAATTTTTGAGTTTCGATATCTCAGCTCTGGAAGGGGCTAGAGCCTCCATTTTTGCACTCAGGTCTAAGTCTCATGGCCCTCTATCAGAATCCAGAGTTTTGGGAAGATTGGAGAAACTTAATTTTTCGCCCAAAAAAAAAAAACGTAAGGGGTACCACTGTCGTTTTTTTTTCGGGCCGAATTTTTGAGTTTCGATATCTCAGCTCTGGAAGGGGCTAGAGCCTCCATTTTTGCACTCAGGTCTAAGTCTCATGGCCCTCTATCAGAATCCAGAGTTTTGGGAAGATTGGAGAAACTTAATTTTTCGCCCAAAAAAAAAAACGTAAGGGGTACCACTGTCGTTTTTTTTTCGGGCCGAATTTTTGAGTTTCGATATCTCAGCTCTGGAAGGGGCTAGAGCCTCCATTTTTGCACTCAGGTCTAAGTCTCATGGCCCTCTATCAGAATCCAGAGTTTTGGGAAGATTGGAGAAACTTAATTTTTCGCCCAAAAAAAAAAACGTAAGGGGTACCACTGTCGTTTTTTTTTCGGGCCGAATTTTTGAGTTTCGATATCTCAGCTCTGGAAGGGGCTAGAGCCTCCATTTTTGCACTCAGGTCTAAGTCTCATGGCCCTCTATCAGAATCCAGAGTTTTGGAAGATTGGAGAAACTTAATTTTTCGCCCAAAAAAAAAAACGTAAGGGGTACCACTGTCGTTTTTTTTTCGGGCCGAATTTTTGAGTTTCGATATCTCAGCTCTGGAAGGGGCTAGAGCCTCCATTTTTGCACTCAGGTCTAAGTCTCATGGCCCTCTATCAGAATCCAGAGTTTTGGGAAGATTGGAGAAACTTAATTTTTCGCCCAAAAAAAAAAACGTAAGGGGTACCACTGTCGTTTTTTTTTCGGGCCGAATTTTTGAGTTTCGATATCTCAGCTCTGGAAGGGGCTAGAGCCTCCATTTTTGCACTCAGGTCTAAGTCTCATGGCCCTCTATCAGAATCCAGAGTTTTGGGAAGATTGGAGAAACTTAATTTTTCGCCCAAAAAAAAAAAACGTAAGGGGTACCACTGTCGTTTTTTTTTCGGGCCGAATTTTTGAGTTTCGATATCTCAGCTCTGGAAGGGGCTAGAGCCTCCATTTTTGCACTCAGGTCTAAGTCTCATGGCCCTCTATCAGAATCCAGAGTTTTGGGAAGATTGGAGAAACTTAATTTTTCGCCCAAAAAAAAAAACGTAAGGGGTACCACTGTCGTTTTTTTTTCGGGCCGAATTTTTGAGTTTCGATATCTCAGCTCTGGAAGGGGCTAGAGCCTCCATTTTTGCACTCAGGTCTAAGTCTCATGGCCCTCTATCAGAATCCAGAGTTTTGGAAGATTGGAGAAACTTAATTTTTCGCCCAAAAAAAAAAAACGTAAGGGGTACCACTGTCGTTTTTTTTTCGGGCCGAATTTTTGAGTTTCGATATCTCAGCTCTGGAAGGGGCTAGAGCCTCCATTTTTGCACTCAGGTCTAA